CCACCACCACCACCACCACCACCACCACCCCACCAAGGAGACCTTATTCTACTTGTTGTCTCTCTAGGTTCATCAATCCTGGGTTTCATGTACCAAAAAAAAATAGGAAAACATGTAACAAAAATTCAAGAGGGCTAACCCAAATGGCAAACTACATCAGAGATAAAACTCCAATATGAAAAGAGAAAAAACAACACAGAAAATGTTGAAAACCAGATCAAGCCCAACGTGTATGAGGAGGAACCAACTGACAAGGTTTTAACTGTCCACATCCGGCTTATTAGTTTGATCTTCTACAGTCAACTCTACAATGTACTCTGTTTAGTAACCAGTTTATTCCCATCTCTCCATTATGTAAACAAGGAAATCACCAGAGGCTTATTTCCTGTAGCGATGATCTCACAAATGTATCTTGGCCTCCCACTGCCATCCATAGCCTCCTGCAAACCAGAATTTCACAATTTAGGTTCTGATACTCTTTCCTCCTCTGACATCAGATTCCATGATTTGCAATCCTTTGGTCACTGATATTGGAGTGTTCTTCCACGTGGACTCATTTGACAGCTCAGTTAGAAGGTTGCTTTGTTTGGAAACAAGCCTCTAAGACCCTAGTCTCGATTTTATCTGATAGCCGGGCACCATCTAATTTCTTCACCATACTTTGCTAGAGCACACTTAACTTCTGTCCACAACCACAATTTAATTCAAAATGAAACACAAATCTGAGGTGATTCTGGCAGTGCTTTCCTGTGTGGCAAATTTCTCAAGTGAAATGGCGTTGTGAGTAGAAACAGTGTAAGCCTTTCTAGGGCCATGGCTCTCAATGGCCCCAAACAGACGATCAGTGCTCCCATCTCAAAACGGAAGCCCTTCTTGGCACCCGCCCCCATCAGACCATGGTGCCATCTCTCTGCCCACTCTGCGGCAGTATTCCTCCGCAGTTGTCTGTAAAGCTGTCTTCAAGTCCTCACCTCCAGTGGCCTCAGACAGGGGACTGGCCCCACCCTCCTCCTGAAACTGCTTTTGCCAAGGCTGTGAGTGGTCAGCACGTTACTCACTGCCAGGCCTTCACCTTGTTTGCTGTGCCAAAGACACTTGCCATTATTGGTCCCGCTCTAATCTCTGAGGCACGTTCCGCATTACCATCCAGCACACCCCGCTCTCTAGGTTTTCCTCCCATCTCGCTGGCTGTTCTTTCTCTTCTCCCTCGGCTGGGTCCTAATGTGGAAGCGGAGTGGGAATCCACAAGCTCTTCTCTTCTTAGCACTCTCTCTCTAAGCAAGCTCGCCTGGTCTTACAACTTTAACTACTGGCTATAAGGTGTTCTTACCATTTTAACGACTGGTTATAAGGTGAAGAAGGAGCCTGGGCCCAGTCGTTAAGCATGTGGCTGCTAATTGAAAACTTGGTGTTTGAACATATCAGCCTAGTGGCTTTCTACTATCATGTAGATTTAGTGCCTTAGGAAGCCGACAGAGTAGTTGTACTCTGTCCTATAGGGTCACTATGACTCCAAACTGACTGGACAGCAATGGTTTGGGTTGATATGGTGATAGAAACACCTGGGTAGTGATTAAGTGCTGTCTACTGACCCAGAGATTTGTGTACTGGGTCAACCCAAATGTGCCTCAGAAGAAATCTGGGAGGTGATTGAAAACCCACTGAAAATTCTATGGAATACCGTTTTGTTCTGCCACAGAGGACCACCTTGAATCAGAGTCTACTCAACAACTGGTTAGGGTTTATATGGTGATGATAGCTAAGTTGTATTTCCAGTTCCAATCAATCACTTTTCCTAACTGCCTTACTAAACGATTTCAGAATGACGTCTAATGAATATCTCAAACTTACAAGTACAATAGAAAATACTGATCTACCCCCTAAAAGTGGAAGGCAGGGCTATACTTGCAAGTACTTCAAGCAAAAAACCTCGGCGTCTTCCTTGACTGCATCCTTTCTCTCACACTTCATATCCTATGAACCCACTGTCAAATTATGCCCCATATCTGAAATACCTAGCAATTTCTCCTTTGGGGGATTTGGTTATGCTACCAGCTCCAGTGGTGACTCATCTGAAGGACACAGGGATGTCTGCTTCTTATCTTCTAGCTAAACCAGCTAAACCCTACGTCTGAGCAGGGTCAGTAAAGTCTCCTCTACTAAAGTCCTCCAATGGCTTCCATCACATCCAGGGTAAAACCAACAGCCTCACAGTGAATTTCCAGGCATACACTCTGGATGCCACTTCCCCAGCTCCCTTGGACTTGATTCCCCTCACCCACTCAGTTCCAGCCACACTTGTGTCCTTGTTTTAGAGGAAGCTGGGCCTGCCTCAGAGCCTTTGCATGTGCTCTTCATACCTGCTGATGCACTTTCCTTCCTCCCAGATTCACACAGCTCGTCCTTTGCCTTCTCCAAGGCGTTACTCAGTTGTCACTGTCTCAGAAAACCTTCCTGCATATGCTAATAAATATTACAATATCCAAGCCCAGCACCACCAGTCACTTTCCCTGTTATATTTTTTTCCATAGCACGTATCAACACCCGGCCTATATATGGACTTACTTTCCCTCTAACACCTGGAATGTGAAACCCACGAGGAAAAGGAATTTTGCCTGTTATCTTCATGATTAGATTCCCAAATAGGATTTTTTTTTTTGAATGAATGAATTTACTTTGGCTCCTTGGGGCAGAATTGGGGATACAAGTAAAATTTGCATGTCATTGACTTTGGCTAAATGTCATGAGAGCTGTAGCCCATAAAGGGGGCACTCATAATTCAGGAGTTCCCAGTCACCAGGTGACCATATAGCTATTGAAAAGGCCAGACTGGGCTGGGGGTGGGATGGGGGGGAGACATGAGCTCTCAAATCCACTCTCCCCTCTGATCCCAGTGAACCTAGAAGGGTAAATGAGGCACTGAGTGAGGAGAAAACTCAGAGGCACACAGCAGAGTGATGGGGATAGGAGAACAGGATCATGGGACTGCTTCTTGGATCTTCTTCATCAAGGGGCCCTGGAGGGGTGCCAGGGCAGGCTTCCCCTAAATGGAGTAAAGACTGGAGGAAGACAGGCCATGGCCCAGGAAGAGGCAGAGGCCATGGGCAAGGAGAAAAGTCAAAGCGCTCAGAAAAGGCAAGTGAGGCAAGGGCAGACTCAGAGATAGGGGTCCAGCCACCAGCCTTCTTCCAACGGGGAGGCTTTTCAGTTTGTGGGGCAGCAGTGAGAACCAGATGGCTAATTAACCGACATAAGTGGCAGAGGGACGAGCAACTGGTACCAAGGAGCGGGTTCTGGGCTGGCCCTGCGGTAGGCCTATCTGGGCAAGGGTAGGGATGAACTGGGTCTCACACTCAGGGGAGGGGAGGGACAGAAGAGGTGGAAGTCTCTAACAAGAATTAAGAGCTAGAGGTTGGGTTAAAGGTAATTCCACTTCTAGTCACTTTTCCTACAGATGTATTCCCAAGTGGGTAAAATGACTTATTCATGTAATAAATATTTTATGAGCACCGATTGCATACCTGCTCCTTCCTGTTCTAGGCACTGGAAACAAAGCAGCAACTATAGTAGAGAGTCTCATGAAGCATATACTGGTCTGGGAAAGAGCCTATAAATAAATAAATACCTAATAAATCAAGTAGTAATGAGTGCTACAAAGAAAAATAAAGTAGGGCAAAAGGGTATTAGTAATGAGAGAGACAAGTTATTCTATATTAGGTGGGTAAGGAAATGGCCCATCAAAAGACCATCTAGGAATACTCACTTGACCTCACAGGTTTGGTAAAGGTGGGGAACTAAGGCCCGGGAGAATTTTGCCCAAGGCATCAGCAAAACAATGGCCCCACTGAGATCTGAAGCTGAGTCTTCCCAGTGGTGCCTCTGGAGCTCACAACACCCCCCACCCCCTCCATGAGCCCCCCAAGTCAGCTGTTCCCTAGACCTCAAAGGTTCCGGGGAGGCCATCCTTAACAGCGGGTACCCACAGGGTTGGGGGCAGGGGGTTGAGCGGAGGGGAACAGAGAGGTGTTAGGGGGCAGGGGGAGTTGGACGGAGGGGATGCCTACCCTAGAGATGCCCTGTTTCCTTCTATTCCCCAAGTACCCCTCAGAGCTCCCCAAGGGGAACTGAGGCAGGCCCTCCTTAAACATAGGGTAGGGCAGTTCTGG